ACCATTGAATATAGTGCCAAGGTCTTAAAAACTGTTTTTGCTTTTGGAGATTTTCCCTTAATTGGTAGGCATTCTCCCAATAAGAAACCGAATTTGATTCTTAGAGGGGAAAAGTATTTCTGACTTTTTTTGCTTTCTGAAATTGGGCATTTCTTCCCCAAGAGGGCAGGGCAGCCAAGGAGTACTCAGGTCTCCCGTGTGGGTGACTGGGGGTCAGTGGGGCCTTCCAGAACTGGGAAGACGGGCAGGCTGGGAGAGTGGCCATGGTTGTGACCCTAGATAATTAGTAAATGCCAGTGGCTGCTGCTCCCGAGCACCCTACAGGCCCCAGAGGACACGACATGCTGTTTGTCTGAGGCCCAGTTCCTCCCCCAGGTACCTCATGGCAGGGCCAGACTCCAGCAGTGAGGACGAGGGCGACCCTCACAGTGGCGGCAGCGGGGATGAAGCCCCTAGGCTTTCCCAAAAGGTCTGCTGTCCCCTCCCTGGGTGTGGGGGTGTGTGGTGGGAAGAGGACATGGGTCTGTTGTGGTCCCCAGAGTCTCTACTCCTGCCTCCTGTGGGCGTACCTCTCCACACACACTCCCACCCACCCTGCCCTTTTCCTGCTCACTGACCCACACTCCCTCCTCAGCGCCCCCAGACCAAAACTAAGCCCTCTCAGGCTGCAGGATCCAGCTCACCCCAGAGACCCCCAACCCCAGAAGAGACCAAACCAGCCTTACAAGGGTCCCAGGAAGATACCCACACCGAGGGGGAGTGGTCAGGTCAGAGCCTTAGGGAGAAGGGGATGGGGGCCTGGACTCCTGGGTCTGAGGGAGGAGGAGGCTGAGGGTCCCCGAATAACTGGATCTGGAGTTCTATTGAGGTTGGGGTTTGGGATGCCTGCGTGAGACTGGGCAGCGGGTTACCAGTCTTCCCAGAAGACAGGGCGGTCACCTCGTGTTGCCTAAACTTGACTCGCAGAAGGACAGGACAATGGAGCAGAGGATTCTGGGGATACTGATGATGAGCTGAGACGGTAACGTTGGGGCTTCGGAGATGGGTGGGCCCGGCCTTGGGTAGAGGGGATCTGGTTTACATGCTCTTCCCCCACCCCTCTTGGCTTCCCCCAGGGTGGCTGAACAGAAGGAACAAAGGCAGCCCCCTGGCCAGGGGGAGAATGGCGAGGACCCATATGCAGGATCCACAGATGAGAACACAGACAATGAGAGTCCCCCAGAGTCTCCCAACCTGCCAATTCCCGAACTTCCAGGTAGGAAACCCCTTAGTGGGAACTGTCCCTCAATTCTCAGCTGTGACTGCTCCTGGCTGGTGCCTTGGCACTCCAGGGCCTCACCTTGGCTCTTCCACCATCTCCCCAGACTTCTTCCAGGGTAAACACTTCTTCCTGTACGGGGAGTTCCCTGGGGATGAGCGGAGGAAGCTCAGCCGCTATGTCACAGCCTTCAATGGGTCAGTCTCTGGGGTGGGACTTGGGTGGGGTGGAGTGCTTGGCCCAGGGGAGGGGGCGTGGCAGGTTGTGGGAAGGAAGGCAGTGGGGAGAGGGGGAAGGTGCGTACCATACCCTGCAGGATTGGCACAGGCCATGAAGTTCAGTGCTAGCCCTGTTGCATAGCTTTCCCTTGGCTTTCTTCTCTTAAAGTGAGGCTCCCCACCACCCTCTGAAAGGATTAGTGACAGTGGGAGCTGTTGGTATTGTGGCTGTGGTGAGACTCGCACATGGGACAATGGAGGATCCACAGGCAGCCTCTAGGGGACATAGGGGATAGGAGAGGATGGCCTTTGAGAATGGTTGGGGACTGGGATGTTAGCAGAGGGGACAATTCTCGGCCTCTTTTCTTCTCCCACCAGGGAGCTCGAGGACTATATGAGTGACCGGGTCCAGTTTGTGATCACGGCACAGGAGTGGGACCCCAGCTTTGAGGAGGTGAGTCCAGAGGGCATGGAAAGGGAGACCCAGCCTGCCCCTGAATCCCTACTATCCTCTACTCTCTCACACTTGTCCCCTGCCCCCCTGTAGGCCCTGATGGACAACCCCTCCCTGGTGTTTGTCCGCCCACGATGGATCTACAGTTGTAATGAGAAGCAGAAGTTACTTCCTCACCAGCTCTATGGAGTGGTGCCCCAGGCCTGAAGTATGTGCTTGTGCACACACACACGCATGCACACACACACATAAGTTTAATAAAGCTGACTTGGTTTGCAGCCGCTGCCTCTCTCACTCAGGAGTCTCCCAGAACCTCCAAGAGGCTCCCAGCTGTCTGTCTTATCTTTGGTTTTTGCTTCCCCTCTGAGGGCCAGGTCGCTGGGCTGCCTGAGACTCCTATCTGGGGTCCTGGAGAGAATGAGGGGCTCTGTATGAGGGCTCTGGTAGGGAAGGAACTCTTTGTCACTTCTCCCTGGCCCCTCAGCCCTATGGTGGCAGATGCCAGGGAATTGGGAATCTGACACTTAGCTGATTCTGACTCTCTGAGCTTGTTCCTAGGTCTCGGTTGTCTCTCTGTGGGTCCTGGGCTGGAGGTATGGATGCTCACGAGGCATGCCTCTCTCTTGAAGTCTCAGCTCCCCTGCCTGGGAGATCTCCCTTTCTACAGGGTTTTCAGAAGTAGCTCTGTAACTGTCACAGCATGGTTTTACATCACCTCATTTGGGAGGTAGAATGGAAGGGGCATTTTAATCAACCCACCCAAATCCTGAACCCCTTCAAGGCTCCACCACATTTAAGGTGGGAGCTGAATGTTAGAGAATCAGGGCAGAAGATAGGGTGGCATTCTAGGCAGGGGCTGTGGTGTAGGCAAAGGCCCAGAAGAAGGAACCAGCCTGGTGTCTCGGTAGAGTTGAAAGCATTGCCACCTTTGGTGAAGAGGCTTTAGGAGCAGATCTGGCTGGAAAGGTAGGTACAGTCCTTGCAGCTGTACTGTCCAGTGTGGTAGCCAACAGACATGGGTGGATATTTAAATTACAGTGAAAGGAAAGGAAAAATTTGCTTCCTTAGTCACACTGGCCCCATTTCAATGCTCAGTGACCACTGCACTGGACAGCGCAGAGAATATTTCCGTCACTGTAGGAAGCCAAAGGACAGGACTGTCAGCACCAGGCAGAGAACCTTGGACTTTTCCTTGGGGTGGGGAGGTCAGTAAACGCTTTGAGCAGCACAAAGGGCTGGGTCATCTGAGTTTGAGATCTGCCCTTTGGATCTTTTCTTGGACATTCTAAGCCCTTTCCCAGCTTTTGCTCCATCAGCTAAGCAAGGGCCACCAATCTTGGTCCTTTCCTTTGTTGGTGAATATGTTCTCCCATTCAGTGGATTGTCTTTTCATTTTGTTGATAGTTTCCTTTGCTGTGAAAAACTTTTTTAGTTTGATGTAGTCACATTTGTTTATTTTGTCTGAGGTGGTATTAGATTTTGCATCCACTCATTCGTTTTTCGTTCATTCACACATGTATTGATCCCTCACTATATTCCTATCGTTGCTGTAACAAATTACTACAAACTTAGTGTCCTAAAACAACAGAAATTTATACTCTTCTAGGTCTGAAGTCTGAAATGGGTCTCACTGGGCTAAAAAATTCACGGTGTGGGCTGGCCTGCGTTCCTTCTGGAGGCCCCAGAGGAGAATCTGCTTTCTTGGCTTTTCTAGCTTTTAGCAGTTGCTCACATTCCATTCCTCTTCCATAGTCAAAGGCAGCAAAGGCCAGCCGAGTCTTTCTCATGCGTCATCACTCTGACACAGCCTCTTCTGTCTTATTCTTCCACATTTAAAGACTCCTGTGATTACATGGAGCCCACATGGATAATCTGGGATAATCTCTGTTTTAAGGTCAGCCAATTAGCAACCTTAATTGCTTCTGTTGCCGTAAATCTCCTTTGCCACATTCCATATCCTTATATTCCAGGGATTAGGATGTGGACGTCTTTGGGAGGCCATTGTTCTGCGTACTACACCCACCGTGAGACACTGGTGCTACAGGGTGAAAAAACAGACACAAGCCCTCACTCCTGAGGCTGACATCCTGTTGGGGGAGAGACAGCGAGTGTGTGTTGCAGCATTGGGCGGTGATAAATCTGTGAGAGCAGAGAAAGCAGAGCAGTGTTGCACAGTGATGAATGATAGGGGAAGGTGGAGGTATTTAGAGTCATAGGAGAGGGCATCTCAGAGGACTTCCCCCTTTGTAGGGACTTGGGAGATGGGAGTGTTTTGGGAAACCAGTCCAGGCAGAGGAAAAGCAAGTATAAAAGCCCTCAGGCAGGACATGTGCAAGGAGCAGAGGGTCTCAGGGTGTCAAGAGACCCAGGATCCACCCTGGCTCAGCACTGCCTCCCGCCATTGTTTGGTTGCAGTACAGTTCCATCTTGTGGCCTCAATTTCCCCATCTGTATAAAGTGAGGTTGTACCAGATCAAATGAGTTTGTGCCCTTGAGACTTTGACGGTGGTACGGTTCCTTCGAAGTAACTTCCCAGACAGCTCTGTATGTATTCATGGATACAAGTCATGCTGTCAGGTTTGGAGGAGTGACCTGAATCCTTACTTTCTCAGAGCTTGCTGAGTAATCTGCAATCCAGCAGCCTGCTCATTTCCACTTAACTGCTTGATTCTACCCCTTATGCTGGAGACTCCATAGACCATCTCTCAGTCCATCCTCCATACCTTTCAGTCTCAGCTCAAACATTACCTACTCCAGGCCTTTCCTAACCTCTCTCTATATAACAGTATATGCTAGGTATACACGCTTATCATGCTGTAACATATTTCTAACTTGATTTGTTTATGGTCAAACTTACCAGTCTCTTCCTCTATAATTTGCTTTTTTGTGTTTTAAAGATACTTTCTCTACCTCTGAGATTACTAAGATATTCTCCTTTTTCCATCTAAATGTTTGAGTTTTGTGCTTCAAGTTTAGATCTTAACTCTCTAGAAACTTCTTTGTATATGGTGTGAGGTAGGGATCTGTATTAGTTCTCTATTGCTTCTGTAACAAATTACCACAAGCTTAATGACTTTAAACAATACACATTTATTTTCTTGTAGTTCTGGAGGTCAGCAGTCCAAAATCAGTCTCTAGGCCAAAATGGTGGCGGCAGGCCTAGGTTCCTTCTAGAGGCTCAAAGGGAGAATCATTTTCTTGACTTTTTTAGCCTCTAGAGGCTGCCAAGTTCCTTGACTCGTGATCCCACATCACTCCAATCTCTGCTTCCATTGTCACATCTCCTTCTCTGACTCTTCTGTTTCCCTCTTTCCCATATAAGAACCCTTGTGATTACATTGGGCCCACTGGAATAATCAGGATAATATTCCCATCTCAAAATCCTTAATCATATCTGCAAAGTCCATTGCGCCAGGTGTAAGCTAATATACAGGTGCTGGGGATTAGGATGAGGACAATTTGGGGGGACCATTATTCTGCCTACCACAGGGTCCCTCTCATTTCATTTTTTTTCACCTCAGCTCACCCACAGATTAGCCTGTCCTTTCCCTACTCATCTATAGCAGGGGTTGGCAAACTGCAGTCCATAGGCAAAATCCAGCCCACTCGCTGTTTTTGTAAATAAAGTTTTATTGAAACCCAGCCACAAATTCATTCATGTATCATAATGTGTGTGGCTGCTTTTGTGCTACAACAACAAAGTTGGGTAGTTGTGGCAGACACTGTATGGCCTGCAAAACCTAAAAATATATACTATCTGGCCCTTTACAGAAAAAGTTTGCCCACCCCTGATCTACAGGTGGGGGTTGTCACATGTCAGGACCAAGGCTCCCCTACTTGTTATTCAAAGTGGACTTAGCTCCTTTACTTTTATTGCCACTACTTGATTAGTGCCCACTTCTCTCACTAGACCAGGTCTGTCTTGTTTACTGCTGTGTTCCTAGTACCCTGTGAGGGTCCTAGCACACAGTAGGTGCTTAGTGTGTAGAATGAAGAGCAGTCCAATCAATGTTAGCTTGATCATTTGATTTTATAGTGGGAGAGACTAGCTCCAAGAAGGGAACTGACTCTGCCCAAGATGCTGCTGCTTGCACCCTTACAAGGGCCTTATAACACTCCCACTTTACAGATAAGGCATCTGAGTCTAGAGAAGTGACGAAATTTTGTCCAAGGCCCCTTGGCTAATATGTAGTGGGTCAGGGTTGGCTCCAAAGCTAGGGCTTTAAAATTTCTTATCCTATCAATAGTATACCTCTTGTTCTTGCTTTTCTCATGTATAATATCTTGGGAATCTTTCCACATTGGTACATATAGAGCTGACTTTTTCCCCCTACAGTTACATCTTCTATTCTATGGCTGTATTGTAATTAATTAGCTGGTCTCCAATTGATGAACACTTTGGTTGTTTCCCATCTTTTGGCACAACCATCACGCTGCACTGAACATCCTTGTCCTTATGCCTTGCTCACGTGTTGAGTTTATTTTTAGGATAAATTCCTAGAAGTGGAATAGTTGACACGAACAAAAGTGCATTTAAGTATTTTATAGATACAGTCAAATGGCCAAACTGGAGGCACCAATTTAACTTACAACAATATGGAGAGAGCCTGTTTCCCCACACTTCTCACCAACCCACGATGCTAGCAGACTTTTTACATTTGCCAAGTGAGTAGTCAGGGAAAAATCAGAGCCAATCCTTTCACACCACAGCTCCAGGTCCCTGGTGTGGCACATTCCCTTCCCCAAAATGGGTGAGCAAAGAGTTCCTCCATCTTTTAAGTTAGAACCTAGTATGGGGGCCAACCTCCCTGCCAGCTAGAAGAGGCAAATCCATAGAGCCTTGTTTAGAAATGCCACCTCTATTTACTGGAGCTGGTGGCAGAGGGGGCCAGTGAGCCAAGGAGAGGGCTCACTCCCGCTCCCCCTGACTCTCAGCCTGGTGGTGGCGGCTGCGTTGGTGAAGGAGCAGGAGGCGTCTCTGGCCAAAGGCCTGGCCGCAGCTGGAGCAGTGATGCCGGGCTGTGGCCTGGCTGCCCGGTGCAGTGGGGGGGTCGTGACATAGTCGATGGGCAGCCAATTTGGAAGGGAATGAAAAAGCCTTGGGGCAGTGTGGGCAAGGATAGGGGCGGGCATCCGTGGCATGATGCGTGTGTCGGTGGGCAGCCAGTTTGGAGGGGTAGCAGAAGGACTTGGAACAGTCTGGGCATGGGTAGGGGCGGGCAGGTGCGTGGGTCCAGAGGTGGGCTGCCAGCTTGGAACGGTGGCCAAAGGCCTTTGGGCAGTGGGGGCACGGGTGCGGGCGGGCGCCACTGTGTGTGAGGCGGTGGGCTGCCAGCTTGGAAGGGTAGGAGAAGGCTTTGGGGCAGTCAGGGCATGGATGGGGGCGGGCACCACCGTGTGCCAATCGGTGCGTGGCCAGCTTGGACGGGTAAGAGAAAGCCTTGTCACAGTCAGGGCATCGGTGTGGGCGTTGGGGTGGGGGTCGCCGGCGGGGTCGAGATGGTGCCCCTGTGGATGCAGCAGGCCCTGGAGCCGACTGGTAGGACTTCTTGGACGAACCCTGGTGAGGAGCTAGGGGACAGGAGGGCTGGTGGGCTCGTGGCAGTAGGCCAGGCTCCCCCCCTCCACTTTGATATTTGAGTATATGTGGGCACCTCAAGGGTCATACTGAGATTCCTTAAGTGGCAAGTTCCTGCTCTCCAACCCATGCCACCCACATCCTAAGGGGTTCCAAAGCATTATCTACCTGGATCCCCCAAGCTAAGGCTTTCCCAAAGCTACTAAGTTGTCTGCTTTTAGTATCTAACCAAGTGATTACCCTGAAATCCTGCATGTCATCCTCCCTGTCCCTCCTGTAATTTCCTGAGCCCTAGAAATGGTCACTAAGGGTCCCCCAAAGCCAACCAGGAGTATTCCCCAGAATGTCACATTTTGGGGCATCCAAATTGTCATCACCCTGGGCCCTCAAACTTTCACCCTGCGATGTGAAATATGATTCTCAAAATGGGATTCTCCTAACCCCAATTCCTGGAGAGTGCCTCCCACCCACAGGCATGGCCTCTCTCACCTTCTTTGGTCACTGGTTCCTTGTCTTCAAGACTAGGATCTGTGGCCTCAGACCCGGACTCCGCATCTCGCTCCAGCATCTTGCTGGCCCAGAAACCTAAAGGATGGCCTAGGGAGAGGGAGGGGTGTCGCTGGTGATTATCAGGCTAATGGAGGTAGGGGTGAGGGCCTAAAATCAGGGGTCAGTCTGTTTAGGAGCGTGGTCTTATTTAAGTCTGGGATCCTAAAGCAGGGGTGGGAGTTGCTGGAAGCATAAGAGCACAATGGGCGGGGCTATGCAAATCTAATGCAGAGCCATTCCCTTTGCCACTTACAGGGTTAGAGCCTTCCAGCGGTGGAGCGGAGTAGCTGGGCCTCTACCGATTGAACTCAGCGTTCCTGGACGCGGGGCAGGCGGGGCCTATGTCCAGAATGGGCGGAACCTCCCCATCAGAACCTCCCAGGCAGGGTACTTACGACAAATGGGCAGAGCTACACAACTAGGACCCCAAGTCCACAGCTCTGCAGCTCAAACTCAGGGAGGGGCCTAATAACTCAGTGGGCGGGTCTTTTGCAACTTTCCCAGGGGAGGGGCCTAAGAACTCAGGCGGAATTTGACGTCGAAGAGGTAGGTTTACCTTTTGGCTTAGTGTCAGTCCATTGACCCACCTGAACCGCTAAATTTCTTCCTTGTTGCTAAATTTCATCCGGCGTGGAGGTGGGGTCGTGGAGGGTAGAGGGGAGACCTAGAGGAAGACACAGAAAGAATGTGGCGTGTGTGGTAAGCCAGAGTCCTAGTGAATCTCCGTCGGGATCTCAGGCGTCCGGACCTCGGGATCGTGGCATTTGGACACCAGTGCGCCCTCCCAAGACTCAGGCACCAATGCAGTCCCTCTGGAACCTACGCATCAGCATCCCAAACGATCCCACTCCGGGAGATCCTAGGGTCCTACCCCTAATCCATTTCCCCAAGACCCAAGCGTCTGGGTCCGGACCCCAGCACCCTCACCTGCGGACCGCACCTCCCCGGGGGCGGGGCTCCGGGCCCTTCCCGCGGCTGCCGCGGCCGCAGCCGCGCAGTTCTCGGACGCGGCGCACACCCTGCGACTGTAGGGGAGGCCAGGGAGCGCTCGCAAGCGGCTGGGTCCAGCCTCATTTCCATCCCCTCCTCCCACGCCGTGCCCGTGGGGGCGTCAGTACGCAAGCGCACTCGCGGCTGGCGGAGGCTACCGTGGGGGAGACAGAATGGAAGGAGGGGGTGGGTGCGTAAGACAGTCAAGTTGATGAGCAAGCGCAGAGCTACCAGCCCAAGGGCGTTAGGAAAGTGCACAGAGGTTTGCGGGGCCTACGGTGGCCGACTGGAGTCAAGACTATGCTAACACGGAGAAGCTGCGCTTAGACCTCACGGAGACAGCGCCCAGCACGGGCACCTTCCCGTTTCCGTTGCCCCCTTCTTTTGGAGCATTCCGCTAGGAGCCTGAGCTTCCAGAGCCCGCCGCCCATTCCATCCTCATGGCGTTTGTAAGAAGTGTGGCTAATCCCTGGAGAGAGGGCGGGGCGGAGCTGACGCCCAATAAAAGGCACTTTATTTGCATAGCGCCCGGGCACTCTTTGCCATTGGGTGATTCAAGATTCCCTGCCTCTCCCACTCCAATGGCTAGGGCAGGGGCGGGAGAACGAGGGTGGGGGTAGCGTGGTGCCGGGGCGGGTGTCCCCTGAGGGGCTGGAGCTTCTGGTGCCATTCCCGCGGTGGCAACGCTTTGCATCCTTCCGCGAGCAGTGACGGCGCACACAGGAGTGACCAGCACAGGAATGACAATAGAAATTTCCTGCATGGGTGGTTTTTCAGCCACAAGGTCTGGCGAGCCCTGGGAGTTGTGGGAGTTACCCCTGGGGGTTATTTGGGCTCTGGAGCCCGATTGCCTGGGTAACTGGCTTGGAATCTTGGCTCTGCCACTTTATAGCTGTGTGACCTTGGGCAAGGCACTTCATTTTTCTGGGCCTCAGTTTTCTCATTTTACAATCCAGGGTTGTCAGGATTAAATTCAATAATCAATGGAAAGTGTTTAGAACAGTGCCTACGGTGTCCAGTAAATGTTGCCAATATTTTTGTTCTTATTGTGCACTGAAGTAGACCATGACAGGGCCAAGGTTGTTCCAGGAACACCAAGCGAATAAACCTCAAGGTGGGAAGGAGCATGCTGTGTCCATGGGGTCTCTCTCGTCCCATCATGCCATGCTCCAGACTCACTGACCGAGTTCTTGTATGTGCTATGGTCAGTTCTACCTCAGGGCCTTTGCACTAGCTGTGTCCTCTGTCCCCCCCAAGGCCCTCCCTCCATCAATTTGCTTGCTGATTCCCCCCTCAAATATCAGCTCAAATATTACCACTGCAGAAGGACTCCCCTGTCCACCCTGTCTCATGAAGCCCCCTCTCTTCATTGCTCTGTTGTCTTGTCCCCCTTGTATGCACATAACATTGTTTACCTGTCCTAGAATGTATGCTCTGTTAAGATGGACAACTTGTCTATCTTGTCCATTTTTCTGTCCCCAGCATCCAGAACAGGGCTTAGCACATATCAGGTGTTCAATAAATCTGTGTCAAATGAATTCCTGAAAGAATTAACAGCCAGAATCCCTCTATAATAAGAGGGTAGAATGATGGGGAAAATGAAAAACTTGAAGTCAAAGAGTTGGTAAGAGGCCTAAGCTGAATGGGAAACCAAGGGAGGCTTCTAAACACAGAAAGTGACATAAGCTAGTTTAGATTTTTTGTATACTTTTTTGCTTTAACCCTATTTTTAGGTTATGGAAAATTTCAAACATACACAAAAGGAGGGAGAGGGGAAGAGTGTAATTAACCCCACACACCCATCACGCAGGTTCAACAGGGCCAGACTGGTTTCATCATCCCCTCAACACCCCACCTTGAGCCCAATGAATTATTTTGAAGCAAATTCCAGACGTTTCACCCAGAAACACTTCAGTCTGTGTCTCTAAAAAAATAAGAATTCTCTCTTTTAAATGTAACCATAATATTGTTATCACACCTTTCACATTTCAGAGTTGTTTCTGTTATCACATAGCCCATAGTGTTCAAATTCCCCCCTTGGTCCCATGTGAGTTTGAACTGAGCTGGTCAATTGAAAAAACCCCAAGTGTAAGTGGACCCCTAAATTCAAATCCACATTGTTCAAGGGTCAACTGTGTCTTTTTTTCTTTTTCAAGCACAATGTAATACTTTATTTCAAACATTCAGAGAATTCAAGAGACTAAAAGAACTGTTCTCTGCATTAATAACAGAACTGACCAGCGTCAACAATTATCCAGTCATGGCAGTGTTATTTTATTTCCCCCCACCCACTCCTCCAGATGATTTTGAAGCTATATGCCAGACATCGTAACCCATAAATATCTTTTTATTACACTTGCTTCGTTTGAATCAGGGATCTAAACAAGATCCACACACTGCATTTGTGTGGTGTGACTCTTCCTTTGCATTTTCATTGACATTTTAAAAGGTGCACTCTGGTTGCTGCATGGAAAATAGATTGTAGGGAGGCAGAGTGGGAGCCAGAATCCAGTGAGGCAGCTGTTACATATTAGTTATAAATTATTAGCATTTAGTTAGCACTTTTTATATACCAGAAACTGTTCTGTGTGATTTATATGCATTCATTTGTTTAATCCTACAGCAGCTTTTTAAGAGGCGGTGCTACTATTATCCTCATTGTACAGAAGAGGAAAATGAAGCACAGGTGGGGGAGGTCACTTATCCAAGGTCACACAAGGCCGGGATTTGAACCCTTGCCACCTGGCCCTGGAATCCAGGTAATTTGCATTTCTGCTGCCTTTTCACTGGGGCAGGGGGCGTGATGCTGGAAAAGGAGCCTGATTGAAAACAGGGCCTGGTGGTGAGCTGGGAGGAGGTGGCAAGATGAGCAAGGAGGATGGTGATGAAATAATGATAGCCAGCTCCCTCTGAGAGCTTGTTCTGTGCCAGGTGCTCTCCCAGACTCTTTACCTGTGTGAACTCACTGAATCTTCACAATGAGGGGGGAACTATTTTCAACCCCATTTTACCAATGAGAAAACTGAAGCCTAGAAGGTGAGTTTTGAGCCCAAGGTCGCAGAGCTAGGAAGGACAATGCTGAAGTTTCTAACTCTTAGAACATCTCACAGCTGCCCCTACGAAGAGCCCAAAGGTTGTGCACACCTTCAAGGTACAGGTTAACGGTCTAGCAGTTCTGCTAAAACATCAGGGATGGGCGCCCCAGGGGCGAGGAGGTCTTATCTGGGGGCTCATCACAGTAAAGAGTGTCTGAGGGTCCCCATTCTCCTAGCTCCTCCCTCCCCTGAGCTCCTGGAAGTCCCTGCATCTCCCCTTGTTTTAGCCTTGATGTCTGCACCTCTCTCCCCAACCAGACTGGGGACTCACCTCTGGGTCCCCAGCTTTACCCAGCTTGGGCCAGGCATGTAGGAGACCTCATCGTGAGGAATAAATGAGCCAAGTTCTCTCCCTGACTGAGCTTTTCTTTCTGCCTGATTCTCTCCTGTCTGGATGTCTCCCAGATCAGAGAGATTCTCTCTTTCTGCACATTTCTCCCTGCTCTGATGTCCCAACATCTTTTCCCACCTGTCGCAATCTTGTAGAAGGTTGTGTATCTTTGTGTATCTCTAAGTGTATCTTTGTGACCATCTCTTTGATGGACATACCATTTCAACTCCATATCTCTCCATGTATCTCAGAAAGTTTCTCCAGGTCTCCCTCGAGCCCCTGAGCATCTCCCTTGTCTTACAGAGGCTCTGAGTCTCTCTCCCCCCTAACCAGGAGCACCCGGAATACACGACTTGCTGTGGCTAAGGAGAGAGGACTGCGGAGGGAGCACTGACTGTCTCCCCAAACCCAGGGAGTTAGAGAATTTTTTTTTTTTCTTAAAAATGGCATTTACATTAAATTTAAATTAAACAAAGTTTGCTCTGGCCAGGTAGGTCAGTTGGTGGGAGCCTCATCTTGATACGCCAAGGTTTGCGGTTCAATCCCCGGTCAGGGCACATACAAGAATCAACCAATGATGCCTCAATAAGTGAACAACAAATCTCCCCCCCCTTTCCTTCCCTCCCTCTCTAAAACCAATCAATAAAAAACATACGAACAAAAAAACCCTTTCATGGGATCCAGTGTTGTTCTGGGAGCCACGCACCCACGGAGCAGTACAAGTGACCTGGAACCAAACATTTTAATTTTTTTTCCTAACAGTGAGGACCCAGCCACCCTCTTAGGCTTTTCCCATGAAACGGCCCCGGGGCTGTGAGCTCGTTGGGGCCCTCGCAGGGTCTCTCCCTCGCCCTCTGAGCGCCTCCCGGTTTCTCTCGCCCCCCTGTTATCTGGCTCTCGGGCGTCCCCTCACCGCCCGCAGCCCAGCTCCGCGGGGCCCCGCCCGGTTTCCGCTCGCCCGGAACC